ATCCAAGGGTCCTGATTATCAGGGTACAGAGCCTGTTATAGAAACCACCAGAGGACCTTCCTTTCCCAAGGGATACTCCTGAGTGACAGTCTGCATGATGAAGCTTAAAGGCTGATGAAGTTTTGAGCCAGACTCTGCCTTTCATATCTTTTGGTCCTGGGGAAGCCATTTATCTTGGAGCAAGTCTCTAACTGCAGCAGACCTCAGTTTTTCCATTTAGAAAATAGCTTGAAAATGTCCAATTTGGAACTTCTTTGAAGGAAGCAAAACATTTAATATACTGTGTAACATCACAGACAAATACTCACAGAAGCCAGGCATGGTGACATTTTCAGGAGGCTGAGGCAGGAAGATTGCAAATTTGAGACTGAGACCCATCAGGGCAATTTAGTCAGTTCTGATACTGAAATAAAATGAAATTAAAATTAAAAGTGGCTGGGATTTCAGCTCAAGGTTGGAGTGCTATGCAGAGCAGACTGAGACAGGTTACTAGTGACTCCACGTTGTACAGAGCAAGACCTTTCAGGACCTACCTTGCTCTGCACCACTCCATCCTAGGAAGCAGCAGGTGGCCCTGTTTTGAGTGTAGGCGCTGAAGACAAATGACGGAGTGACCCATCTGTACACATGCCTCACTGCCAGGTGCAGGACACATTAAATTAGTTCAAAAACCAATGACTCACATAAATAAGATCCAAAAGGTAGGATAGACATTGAGAAAGGGAAAGAAACTGCTCAAAAATGAAAGAATAGCTGGGATAGGGGAAAGGAGAAAAGAATATATATATATATATATATATATATATATATATATATAATATAAATGTATATATATATAAAACTATATGTGTGTGTGTATGTGTGTGTGTATGTATGATAGTTAAGATAATTATACTACTAATTTCTATTAATTCATTGAAAGGAACAGTTAAACTAGTGTTTATATTGTTTGACTAATCTTACATGCCTAAATCTGGTAATCTGAACAACTACTTTGAAGATAACAATATGCAGTATAATAACCCTTGTTAATTTCTTATCATCTTGCTTTGAAAATTTTTTTATCATTTTTTATTATTATCTCTAAAATAAAAAAGACAGCACTACAGGCACAATCATGGGCCATAAACTGATAAATCACCATAATAATAAAAATATTTCCACCTGTCTATTTATCAGATTAGACCCATGATACAACCAAGCTTTTGAGCTGTTGGGGCACCCCAGATGAAAGGATGTCACAACTACTTTCTTGAATCACATAAGAGGGTGCACCTAGGCTCATATTATAGTTTGTATCTGGATGTCCCCCCAAAGCCTCATGCAATCATGGGGCAAATTTCTAGAGTTTATGATTGATTCATGGGTGTGAGTGCTACACCCATTCTGGGTGGGTAGCCTGCATACAATGTAAGGGAGGGAAAGAGGCTTGCTCTCTGCTGCTGCTCCTCCCATTTTGCTCCTGCTGCTTTTGCTGTTTTCCTCCACCATGAACTGTTGCTCTCTGCCATGTGCCATTCTGCCTTGGATCCAGCTGAGCATGGACTGAAACCTCTACAAACTGTAAGCTAAATAAACCTGTTCTTCCTTAATTCTAGGTGTCAGGTATTTTGTCTCAGCAAAGAAAGAAAAGTAACCAAAAAAGAATTTGGTACCAGGGGAGTGGGGTTATTGCTGTGACTGTACCTGAGCATGTGGCTCAAGAGCCTTTGGAAATGGCTTGTGGGAAGTGTTTGGAAAGGTTTGGAGATGTCGCCTGAAAGAGTAGAGCTCGAATGACTTCAGCTGTTCTGGAGTCAGATGCAATAACCTTGCGACATGAGGTCACACTCGGCTGTTCTGTATGGGAGATTCTGGTCAAAGCTCAGAAGACCAAAAGGCTGTTAGAAATCCTACAGGGACTGGGAGGTTTCTGCTGGGAAGGAGGACTGCACTGGGTGCTGGATGCCAGATGATGTATGTTATGGCTTAGCAGAAAGTTTGTCTGCATTTTGCTTGTGTCCAGAGACTTTGCCTAAAACTGAGATTAAGGGCGGTGGACTAATTAACTTGGCAGAAGAAATTTCAAGGCAGTTCAATGTTGGGGCAGTGGTATGGCTGTTGTTGGGGGCTTTTAGCCAGATTTATGTTGACAATCAAGATCAAAGAGCCCAGCAAGATGTTTTAAATTGTTGACAGTTTGGCTAGAAAGGAAGCTCCAGTAAAGCTGTGTATTACAAAGATAGAGCTGAGGAAGTCTCCATTTCTGAGGAGGAACAGGAGAATATAAAAGATGGCCTGAGGGCATCACAAGAAGCAGCAAGTCTCCACCCTTTGTAGTCTCAAAACTGTAAAGGTGAAAAACTTTGCTTTGAGAAGAAAGCTGCAGAGTGCCATGTTCCAGAATGATGGTGGCGGCTGCACCAGGTTCCACAACTGTGGCAGCATAAAGAATTTGTTCCTCAGAACTTTGATTCAGAATGTCCAGTGATCCAGGCACTCGACCCCTATGGCCAAGAGAGAGGAAAGGTTGGCTACTGCTCCAGCTGGCAGCAGACCTTGGCATCATCCACATGGCACTGGTTTTAGGCACATACAGAATGCAAGAGTTCTGAGTTTAAGAATGCTTCCACCTTGATTTCAGAAGAAGGCCTGGGAGGCCAGACAATGTGCCTCTGAGAGGGCAGTATGTGAAGCTGTGAGTGAGAAGCCAGAGGTTCAGTGGAGACCTCAGAAGTTTGGAAAAGCCAGGAACTTTGATCATCTAAGGAAAGCTGCAAGAAGGGAGCAAAGCAGGCTTGAGAGAAAAGCCATGGGAGCTATAACCACCAGAAGTGCCACAGGGGTGGAGTCATGCAAGCCCTTTGGAGCTCACAATGTGCCATAGATTGCTTCAGATATTGGATGTAGAATTACAGGACTTAATGTTTACCCTGCTAGATGTTGAACTTGCTTTGGTCCCAATGCTCTGTATCCCCATTTGTACCTTTTGGAATGGAAATGTTTATTTGTGCCATTGAATGTTGGAATTGTTTAACTTTTCATTTGTATAGGGGCTTGCAACTAAGAGTTTGCCTTACATCTTGGGGGAGATTTGGGACTTGGACTTTTCAGCAATGCTGGAACTGTTAGGATGTTGGCAACTCTTAGAGATGAACTAAAATGTCTTTTGCACAAAGAGATGTACATGAGTCTTTGGGGGGCCAGGGGTGGAATGTGGTTTGTGTCTAGATGTCCCCCCAAAGCCTCATGCAGTCATGGGGCAATCTTCTACAGTTTAAGATTGATTCATGGGTTTGAATGCTACCCCTACCTTAGGGCAGGTAGCCTGCATACAGTCTAAGGGAGGGAAAGAGGCTTGCTCTCTGCTGCTGCTCCTCCCATTTTGCTCTTGCTGCTTTTGCTGTTTTCCTCCACCATGAACTGTTGCCCTCTGCCATGTGCCACTCTGCCTTGGAGCCAGCTGAGCATGGACTGAAACGTCCACAAACTGTGAGCTAAATAAGCCTTTCCTTTCTTAATTGTGGATGTCAAGTATTTTGTCTCAACAAAGAAAAAAATGTAACCAAGACACCCCAGGATGCAGTGATGATCACACCCAGCTGTGCTCCTCAAGAGGACAGGAGATGAGCTCTGGCTTTCTGTTCCCAGCTTTAGCTCCACTCCGTCTCCCCTGGTGTGGCCAGCTGGAGCTGCTACTCTCAGGACAGATGGGGCTTTGAACCCACTACACACCCTCAACCACCTTGAGGAGTCCAGCACCATGAGCACAGAGAACAAGCTGTATTCTCTGTGATCTCACCAGTCACATAGGGGTACTGCTCACCCCTCAGGCCTGCCTCTGAACCATGAAGCCACTGCCAGGCCTGCCCTGGCCATCCTGTAATGCTTACCTGGCTATGTGGAGGGTGTGTGACTTGTGTGTCACAGGGCTTACGAGTTAAGATTGCATTGAAGGGCCTGTGGTCACCTGGCTCAGTGGCTATGGAGTGTGGTCTTGAATACTCTGCCAGATAAGGGTGATGAAATCTATGTCAGTAGTGAGCGTGCTGTTATTCAGTAAATGTGGACACCGTGGCTTGCAAGTGTGCCTGGTCTACATAAGAGCAGAGCTCACTCATGACAGCACTTGAATTTGATACCCAGGATGACAACGAAAAATACTCCAGAAATGGTAATTTTCCTAAGGATGATGGAGATTCAGGTCTCCTGGTGTCATAACTGCTGTGGCTGTGAAGTCCCCAGGTGTCACCTACTTCTCCGACAGGATAAAGGTAGAAGGGATGGTCCAGGCCTGGAGAGGGGAAGGGGTAGGTGAGCAGTGACCACAGTTGAGCACTGAAGGAGTATTCAGAGGGGAAACCCCTCATGTGGAAGGTGACAGTGACACGTGGGGTGACACAGGCAGCCGTAGGGGAACCAGCTTCATCAAGCTCCTTGAGCATTGCCAGGTGGGTGGAGAAGAATTTAACTGGAGGAAGGAACCAAGCACATGCTCCTGGATTGGGAGAAAGTTAAAGTAGCAAAATGAAGCCCCAGGTGTATGTCACGGTGACAATGATCGGGTTTCCTCTAGCCAGGACCCAAGGGAAGGAAACAGGAACAGCAGAAAAACGACAGGGTTGTATCATTTTCAGTGGAAAGGATAAAATAGAAATTTGAATTAAAAATTGAGATTCGTTTTCGAATAACAAATTGCTAGGGTTGGTTTGTAAGCGGATGGGTGGCCAGCCCATGGACACACACACATCAACCCCTGGGGAATAGCCAGGGCTGCATCACAGAGTGGGGAGTATCTCTTTCTTTTTGTTTCCCGTGGGCATTTTTCCTATGGATGAGACAAACTGTCAGTATCAAACCACAGCTCACAGCACCTTCCAGTTCCCCTGAACCCCAAAGAAGGAACACTGTAGGTCTAATGTCTGTTTGAGTATCCAGGGTATAGCAGAGAAGTGTAGATAATTCTAATGTACTCCCAAATCTATAAAAGTGAATTAAAATCTGTAACTTGTTTTTCCTAGGTAAAATTGCAGCAGTGCAATTAAGAAAAGATGCAAGAAAGAAGGAAATTCTTTTCATCTCCTGAGCCAACAATCATATCTATATGGACAAAGAAACAATAGGGAAGACTTACTTTCATAATAATTCCATCATATAGACGTTTCGGCTTTGCAGAAATAATTGCGTTTTTGATCTTGTAAAATCTTTGGATGATATTTTTTTATGAATAACTCAGAAAGGAAACACCACTTAACAACTAGAAATGTGCCATGTTTCTTCCTAGGGGCTGCAAGGTAACCTTACATAGAATAAACAGATTTAATGTGTTTGTTATAATGTCATTCTTTAATAGCACATTATGTAAGTAACACTCAAGCACGGCAACATAATAGCCCTGAGAAGTACACAATTAAAACTATGTGGAGAGTAGGATTTTATGAGGTGAACAGACAAATGCATTGGAATGGAGAAGGAATTATTTTTAAAATCTTGGAGCTCATTCATTTAACTCTTGATACCTGTGCACTACGATGTCACATTGCTCTGAAACCATAAAAATGGCGATCTATGTTAGAGGTCCATTAAGCAAACAATTTACTGAAAAGGAAGTTCACCAGGTGGTATGTCCATCGAAATTTTATGGGGTTTTTGCTTTTGCAGCAGGGTTTGAGTGTGCAAAAGTTAGTTAAAAAGATGATAGGAAAAACTCTTTAAATATTGCATATTTTCTATAGATCTATAGCCATTGATTTCCTATAGTTTCATTAATGATTTCTAGTGATCTTCTATAGCTTTGTTATCATGCTTGTGTTTCCAATGAAACCTTTAATATTTGGTTAAATAAGCAGTTTTGCTTTCTTAGTCTGTCCAATCTTTAGTTTTTAACTGGCTTTACTTGACCGCAGAACAAAGTGGAAGTCTCTCCGCGTTTAGCAACAGAATAGCAGGAGGAAACCATCGTCTTTTTCTTTGTAATGGAAAGAGGAATAAAGCTCTAGGAATACAATGAAATTACAAAACTGCATTAAGTTCCTTTAAAACTAATGTGAATTTCAATATATGCAAGAGAGATCTGAGAAATGATGAGGCGTGGGGAGGGGCAGGGGCATCAAGTTGAAAGATCTGTTGAGACAGTGTTTAATTTCTGTCAGAGACAATGTCTAATTTCTGTCCTCTTTTGTGTTTCCACTCACACCAATACAGATTGAAAACACAGAGTTGCCACCAACTGGCGTGGCTCTTGATGTTCCCAAGGAAAAATGACCAGAGGATGAAAAATAAAGGTAAGAGGCAAAAGCTGAGATCAGGGGGAGCCCTCTCTCTGGATGGGAGGAAAGGAACTGCCCAAAGACTGCAGAGCATTTGTTTATACATTCAGGAGGCTGATGTCAATTTCAACCTCTCTGCTTTGCAACCTGTTTGCAAGCTGGAACAGCTTCTTTACATGGCTTGAGGAGCTCTCTCTGTTCTCCAGGCTGGCTTTGTCTCAACCCCACACATGTGATTGATTTCGAGCTCTAGCGCTCCGTATACAGAGGCAGACCGAAGAGAGCTGTACCAGCTCTATTCTTAGATGCGCTGGCAGAATTTTGAGTTCACCTGTGACTTTCCCCCTCATTTTACAAAAGCTTCTCACCTGAGTCATTGGCATTGAACTTGAAACAGAGGACAGTAGAAAGATTCTTGCCTATTCTAGCAAGCTGTCATCTTCCCGAAAAGGAAATGCTGTGACAGTTATTAAATATTTACTACGGCATATGCTCTGTCCTAATACTTGACAGATACGAACACAGAGAGAGTACTAAGTAAGAGAGGAATTTAAATCATTGTCTGGATATGACAGAGAGCCTGGATTCAAATCCAGGTAGTCTGGTTCCAAAGTCAGTGTACTTCAAAACTATAGGCACAACACATTCCAAAGAATTGTCTGTAGCCATGGAAAGATGTACAATACTGGGGGAAAATGTATCTGTTGCACATTTGTAAAATATCTTGGAAACACATACTAAAAAGTGATATACTGTATGTCTCTAAGGTTTGGATTTGAATGAAGCCTGCTTTACAATGAGAGTTTTACATGTGTATCCTGGAATTCTTAGACTCTGGAGTATCTAAATGCATGAATTTCACAAAAACAAATAAGTTAAAAATCATTAAAATTATACATCAATAGATTCTGTCATTAATTTAACATGTCATTAAAAAAAAAAAACTAAAGACATCCTTGGGGGAATTCAAAATGTTTTATTTTGCCAGGCAAATGGTTTCTTCAATATCCAATTAAATGTCAGTGTGAAAACTACATTTAGTTTTTCTGACACAGAGTAAACATTCACTGAAATGACAGTTTCATCATGCCAAAATCTATCTACAAACCTACACTTTGGGCAGGGGAGTGCATTTGTAGGAAATTTTATATACAATACAAATGGAAAACATGTTAAACCATTAAACTGCCAAACTACATAAAACAAAGCCAATCAATCACCAATACTCAGTACACACTGACAGAGTTTTTGGAAAGAGAAATGTCTTCACATTTGGCAGAGCTGTGTTCGAGAAGAATTTGTGTAGTTTTAAAAGAAAAGTATGTACAATTCAACATTATTCAGAAGAGAAGACATTAAATAGCACAAATAATATAAAACCAAACACCATTTGTCATCCACTGTTCTGTTCAGACCTATGCAAAATAGGGAAACTGAGGTTCTAACACAACTTCACTTTTAGCTCTGTACAGTGAACAGATTGATCACAAACACAGAGGGTGCTGTTGGCTCCACATTGACCTGCACTGCTATTTGTATGTGTAGAGGAGAAAATACATATAACCTCATAAGCAGGAAAGCTACTTATATAATAAACTGCTGTAGAGATTCCTTGACACATACATACATTTGCAACAGTAGCTTCTAACACATGAGTATCATTTATGTTGTGCATTTTAACACTTCTTTTTGCAACACTGTTGCCTCCTCTTAGAATACTGAAATTTATCATCACTTAAATAATAAATTATAATCTTAGATTCTGATCAATGACTACATTCTCTTTGGCCAATATTTTAGTTTTTTATGTTTATATTATTTGATAGTGGGAGCAAATGCAGGACCTTTTCATGCTAATACGGGCTCTACTGCTGACCTGCATTCCTAGCTGTGATTTTAGTTCTTGGACTTGTATACTGCCATACTCAAAACAGTGAACTATCTATCTTGGTTATTTCTTTGTGAATTACTAACTAGAAATAAAATTTTTGTACTAAATTTTGAATAAGCAAGTGGTACAGTTTTTGTTTTGACCTGGAAACAAAATGTCCTATAAATGGAAAAGTAAAAATTGTGTTTTTAAAAGAAATATTAAATCATGAGGAAATTTTTCACATTTCCCTCATTTAAGGTTTAATTTGGAGAAAATAATTTTAGCATTAAATTATTTTTTATAAAACTACCCCAAAATGTAATTAGAAGATAGCTATTTATCACAAAACTTGTCACATTTACATTCATAGGCAAGTGAACATAGGTACCAACATCCTTTTAAAAGAATATCTGGAAGGAAAAAACAATATAATAAGAACAAATATAGACATCTGAAATCTTCATAAAGAATGTCTATTTTTGTTCACACATATATATATTTTCCTTTTTTCATAAATAATTATAAAACAATAAAATGTTGTCTAAAAATCACTATGATATGTGAGATTGTTTGTTTCAACTGGGACTTAATTGCCAAACTTGATTATGAGAGGTATAAAAGCTATACATATTTGCTATAAATTTCCCCTGATAACATTAAACTTTCTCCTTTGATTTTGGTGGTTTCACCCCTCATGTAGAAGTCTGATGCAATAAAAGTGTTTTTTTCTTGTGGTTTTTAATTTGCCATGAAGACAAAAAAATTAGAATCAAAACAGTAATCAATTAAATATTTTAAGTTTATATTTAAGTCTATAATAACTTAAATAACTTCCAAAACAAGGAAAGTGCTTTTGTTTGGAAGATGATAATGTAACTACATAAACCTAAAGGCCTTCAAAGATCCTTGTGGTATAGAGTATTCATTTTGTCTTCCTGCAATAAGAGAAGATCAGTGATAGATATCAGCAACTGACAGTTTTAACAGCATTAAAAGAATAGCAAATTTCACTGGAAGCATATAATTAATTCATCATTTTCTCTTTATCAGTCATTCATGTTTTATACAATATTTAGATATATCTTTGTCACTCAGCTGTTCTTCTACATCTCTTGCCATGGCCATTCTGTTACATGTATTTATATGACTTTTACTATGTGACAGTTGTGAGTTGGAATTTGTTTCATTTATAAAATCATTGACAATTAGAAATCTAAACTCTTAAAGCAGGGAAGAAATACCCCAGGGTTACGGCCCTTGTTCAGCTGAGAGATGTAACAGCTCTACTTCCGTAGCCACCATACTGGTTTTGAAGAAAAGATGACTAAAGGTATAAATAAAATCTGGGTTAAGTTAAATATTTATATGCACCACGAGGACATGACATGTCTAGTGCTAGTCAGTATTGTACAAGAAGATGCATGCTCATTTCAGTTCATGGAAAACGTACTGAGGAGAAAGTAATCATCTTTTGTCAAGAATTTCTCATGGGAAAAGCACAAGGTATTTTGCTCAAAACTTGATCATTGAAGACAGAGCATTTGTTACTTGAAGCAAAGCCCCATGTAGGGAAATATTATGACTCTGGAAAATGATTCCTCCTGTTCCTGCTCTTCCGGCCGTTGATGAGCGCCTTTAGCTTGCCGTAGTCCCCTCTCAGCTTCTGTGCCTCCTCCCCCAGCTGCTGCTGCTGCCGAGCGTCCTTGCAGTACTGATTGATCATCTGCATCTCCGAGTGGCTGAACGCCCCCATGATGTCCTTGGGGTGGAAGGGCAGGGCCCTCACAGAGCTGGCCCAGGTCCATGGCGACCATTTGTCTGTCACCACAGCCACCATTTCTGAATCCAGCACTTTGAAGTTGATCTTGGCTACGGTCTGCTTGAAGCTGTTTTCCGTCGCGATGCAGTGATACAGCCCTTGGTCGGAATCTTGGACGGAGCGGATCAGGAGGCCTTGAGGAGTGGCGATAATGCGTTCGTTCAGCTTCACCTACGAGAGAAACACAGAAGAGTGCCCCAGGCTGAAGAGTGTATGGTCTCAAAAGATAGGGCCCACAGCTACAAAATAGGTAGACTTTTCATTCATCTGACAGAAGTGTTCATTAAGAATTGGCTTCTTTCTTGGCGGACACAATTTTTGGTGAGTGGGATAGCCTTGTTTGGAATGACAGATCTTGTCACAGGGGTCTGGGGTCTACTAAAGGAAGTACGAAGGAATTACCCATGTTGGAAAAAGAAAGAGCATTCCTCTGGATAGAAGCAGTTTCTCACATACACGAAGAGAATTTGGTTGACTTTGGAATCAAAATCACAAGCCACACAGAGTGAAATTCATAAGCAACATAAAATGAAACTCACAGAAAACTTTTGTTTATTAACTTCTTTTGACTTTTTTGAGACAGGGTCTCACTGTGTAGTTCAGCCTGGCTTTGAGCTGACTATGTAGCCCATGCTGGCCTGAAACTCATGGCAATCCTCTTGCCTCAGCCTCCAGCATGCTAGGATTACAGGCCTGCACGACGACACCCAGCTGATATTCACAGATAATTGAAAATATGTACTCCATGATGGAGTTCTTGACTCTCACTTTTACCATAATGTCATTTACCAGTAAAAGTAAGAAGCCACAGCTTTTTTTTCCCAGTATGTTTCCCAAATGATAAGAGAAACAGATAAGCAGAAGCCAAGTTCTGTACATTTCCAGAGAGTTTTTCCAGTTATCCCACTTTGCAGGATGTGTAAGAGTAGCCCTCTACTTCTCCTAGGTATCCTTCTTTCCAAGGGAGGCAACAAAAAGCGTGTGTCAGCACTTAGTCCTGCAGAGGCTCATGCTGGAAGGTGACCACTGTCAGGGTATCAGCTAAACGCATCAGGTGGATTTTCCTGACAGTCCCAGCTAGAGTATCGGCAACAAGGAGGTAAAACCTACGTGGAGGGAAGCTATGTGGCTTGTTCACCGTGGAGTGCTCTTTCCCTGAGAGTAAACGAAATCCCACCCAGATCAAATAAGGTAATGCACGTGCTATAGTTTTCTAAATGATAAAATTCTATGCCTATGGACATTTTATTATTAATAGAATCTAAATCAAAGATTCTTTGGGAGAAAAGTAAGCCGTTCTCCAAAGCACCAAAAGGCACACATAGTATTATTGAAAGGTGGACACTAGAATACAACTACAACAGGGAAAATCATTAGGAAGAAGTAAGAAAACATAGTTTTGACAATTAATTTTTAAGGTTAAATAGGCCTCAAAATAATTTACATAGTAAAAATTGTATTTAGGTATTAATGGAATAAAAGTCTTTCCTCCTTGTGCAAAATTGGGAAAAATTTCTTGAGGCCAATTTGATAATATCCACAAAACATGTCCATAATATTTGGCACTGCCATTTATTTATTAGGAATTTGCCTAGAAGCTGTACTCCCTTGAGCGTGTAAGTGTTTGTTCATGTATTGATTGTGATTAAGAGGAAAAAGGAGAAAAAAACCTAACTAGGAGTTGACTTTAAAAAAAAACTCAGTTTAACTTCATATAACAGAATATTACACAAGGAGGAAAAATGAGGTAGCTCCACCTGTACTGATACTCATTTTTGTGGTGTGCTAGAGAGCACATTTGAAGGAATACACAATTGAATACACAATTCTTGGTAACCTTTTATTCTGAGAAGAAGGAGTAAGAATTGAGGTAGAAGGGGGCATTTAATTTTCACTTTATGCTAGAGAATATGAGCTCTTTGAATTCTGCTTTGTGAGCTTTTATTATTTATCTTCCATATAATGTCCAGTTGTGATAACATGACATCAGTAACATGAGAAATAAGTACGCTTGTTTGAAATAGAAAGGGTCAGAATGAGTTTAATAAACCAGTAATGGTTATGTAACTAAATTAGGAAGGAGGGAAATTATGCTCTGCTTAAATGCTGAGCAAAGCAGTTTCATAACTGTGATTCCATCATAATTTTAATTATATCTCATGCTTTTGTGATTGGAAGAAAAGTGAACATAGTAATAGTGTAGTCTACATTTGTTTATGTTCTAAAACAAAACATTAGAAATATCAAAAAAGAAAGTTAATCCAGGTAGTTTAAATTTTATTGTTAATTTTTTGACATATATTTAAAACTATATCAAGTTTTACTATAAAGTATATACATAGGGTTATATACAATTTAATTTTAAAGTTTAGAAAATATATTCATCCATATGTCATTCTATTGGATGTTTTAATGAACAAAGGAAAACCTTCTGTCATTCGTAGGGCTTCCCTGTTTGGGTCACAGGGGTATCGGTTACTCTGCTGGTGTACAAAGTTCTAGACCCTTCCCAGAGGGATCACTGGCATCCATGTGTCCCTCCTCACCTGGCACGGGCAGCCCTACCGGGCAAGATGGCCCTGCATGTGGCCCCGCAGGATCGTAAACGTTCAACCCCACTGTGAGATCTGCAATGATTGTCTGCGTGGTGCCGCAGTGCTGACTGCTGGGCGACAACAGAGCACGGTTGGGAGGGCTCCTCGCTGGGCCGGCTCCACTGTCCTCGCAGGCACAGCCCCGGGGAGACCTTGTGTGCACCCCTGTGACCCAGGGAGTAAGGACAGCGATTCCTGGTATCAGAGCTCCAAGCTATCTACACATGGGCATACTTGGGAAGCCCGGCACCCTGGTATTAAGTAGGTTAAGCGGCAGTTGTCTTATTTAACTGTTACGCCGCAGAGGCTTGTGTTAGTTTGCAAAATAATTTAGTAAGTTAAAAATGTTAAAATAGTGCTATGGTTTGGATCTGAAATGCCCCCATTCTCCTGTGTGTAGAGCACAGCTGGGCTCTGAGGGCTGCACGCACGCTAGCACTCACCCCGGTGTGCAGCCCCCAGCTGAGGTACTGCTGGTACTGGTGCCTGGGGGAGATGTGTCCCGAGGGGGAGGGTCTTGTCTCTGGCTTTTCCCTTCTCTCTCCGCTTCCTGGCTGCCATAGCTGGGAGGAGCAGCTGCCCTTTGCCAGCCCTGCACCAAGCCCGTCTCTGCCCTGGAGCCAGTGACCCTGGGTCAAAACCGGGAGCCACAGTAAACCTCGGCTCCTTTAACGTGCCAGCTTTGGGTATTTTGTCCCAGCAGTGGGACAGTCATGAAGACAGTTCTTAACAGCTGTGGGAAAAGAGATATAAAAGTGTATCGAATAGATTTTTGCTCATGATACTGTATATATACAGTATGACTAATCCTAGAAATGCTAGAATTAAAAATTTAAAAAGTTTGGAGAAAGTTGGGTGCCTTGTACCTATGCATTAATTCTGTCACAAATCTTACAGGTGGCCCAGGAAAGCCCAAAGGTCACCGCCCAAGCGCCGGTCTCAGAACTCATTTTGATCATTATCACACATTGTGGGCTCCATCCCAGGTTACTTTGCAGAGAAATTACTATCATGACCCACATTTTTCTAAAAGATGTACATTAATTATACTATAATTTTTAAGACTTCTTTGATAACATTTTACAGCAAAACTCGGATAATTTTTTTAAATTTAATTGGTAGGTATCAGATTTCTAGGGTTAGAAGAGGGTGCCCAAGCCCACGAGGTCCCTTCTGCCTCCAGGTTGTTAAATCCCCTGACGTGAGCATGGTCGTCAGACTCACGGTTAAGTAGGCCGGTAAACATCCGGGTAATCCCGTGCACAGGACCTAAAGACCCAAGAGAGTGCTGGGATGGGCAGCTGTGCGAGTTGGAGAGTATTTTCTCTTATGGAAACAGCACTTCAGTAACTTTGGTGTAGCTTTTGTACTTGCAATAAATGATTTGCATTTTACAGACCCGTAATTAACTGAATATGAAGAAACAGAACTGCCTTCGGCAGAAGAGAACACACCAGCGTAGGGGCTTCCGATTTCCCCACGTCTCTTTAGACTTTCTGATGCACTAATAATAGCGCCTTTTAGGCTTTCCCAAGGCTTTCTACATATGCACATTTTTTCATCCTCCCATTTGTCAGGATAGTATGACACCAATACTGTGGAATTCATTATTCACCATAGTTCACTCTGACATTTTACTACTTTTTAAAAACTTCTTTCCAATTAGCAAAGCGTTGGAATCTGTGTCTTCTTATTTGAAAACGTAGGGCGTGCTTTCCATGTCACTAAATAAAGGCAATGGCTCCATAAACAATGACCCCATAGATTACCTGAGGGAAGCCCGAGAGTTATGAATAACAAAGCACTGGAAATAGGTTATCGCGGAGGGGAAACACGCTCTTGCACGAAGGCCACCGTTCCATATGCTCCCTTGCTGAGGGAAACTGAACATTTTTAGAGCCCCCTTTTATCTTCCAACCACACAAAGGTGCCGTTGTGCGGGAACCTGGCTTCTGGGTTTGCACACATCTCCTTTCTCTTACAAATACTTCCTCACATCAGCGCTGCCCTCTTGCTGCGCAAGCTCTTGTTTCAGTGACTGAGCTACCGAGGCGGGCAGCCCGGGGATTTGTAATCAACCCATCAGTTCTTGGGGCAAAGTGTTTTGAAGAAGGCGGCACTCCTCATTCTGGTGACGCAGGGGCGTGTCCCTTTGTCTTTGGCTTTCCTTCGATGTGGCCCACACTGAGGCTGGCCACGTCCTGCTCCTCCCGAAGCCCTGGCAGACTGCCGCCTGCTGTTACCCACCTCCTTCCTCCTGTCTTTGTCTTTCTGTAACAGCCACTTGACGGAGGCCTGGGGAGACTTGGGGGAACACTCAAGGAAGGTGGTGTTGTTCTTCACGCCATACTGGACAATCTCAGCCGCGTTTCTATATCCTGGAAAGTAAACATAAAGAGGGGGGGGGGAGAGAGAGAGAGAGAGAGAGAGAGAGAGAGAGAGAGAGAGAGAGAGCAAACAATGAAATTTAGAGCATGCTTTTCTATATGGACGTTTATCTCCATAAAACTGTGATCCAGAACAGGAGCCAACAGAAGCCAACCACTTAACCAGCAAATTATTGTACCTGTTCTGTTTAACATAAAGAAAAGCAGAGAAAAGTCGGTGAGGCTATGTGGACAGGGTAAGCACATGCTCAGAAGAATGGCTGCTTGCTAAGGACTGGATTTATCAACACTTTGGGCACTTATTTACTACAACAATCTGGGGAGTTAGATTTTTCTCAGCTGAGCACACGGAGGGTATGAATTTTAAGTAATCTCAGTGTAAAGAGCTGGCAGGGGTCAGACAGGTTTATCCCAGCCCTAAGCCCACATTCAGAAGCACTGGGAGAGGAGGACGGGGGCGCAAGGTGGCTGCAGTGGACACAGAGGTTGAAAACAAAGTCTCTGGAATAGAGAAAACCAGGGGGGAACCCTGATGGCTGCATAACTGTGAACTCACCCATCCCTCTCACCCTGCATTTTCCTCATTTCTAACACATAGATTAAAGAGTTTTACACTTTTTAACGTAAGTAGTAAATCAGGTAGAGATCTAGAATAATCCCACGGAGGTTTAAACATGGAATGGCTCCTCATCCACAAACCAGGGGTAATAATAGCCTGTATTTTATTATAAGAATTTTAAGCATTAAATGAGAACTCACAGAAAAGCACTTAATGCAGGTTTTGATCTAAAGTCAACATCATATTTGCCATTGCTTCGCTGCCACTCTTCTTACTTACCAGGATGACAACTGCTAGCATCAACAGGAACTGACACACTTTTTCTAAAACTTTCAGTAGTACAGAAATAGTAGACTGGATTTGTTTGCTCAATTTAGTATATGGAATGATTAAGAAAAGTCTGGCTTGATTTACTTGTTATTGTTAGGGCGGTTAGTAATAAGAATGCTATTCTTTACTAAAGCAATGCCTAGGCATAAACATGCCAGAAATAGGAGTCTGTGCTGATTTTAACAACACATCTGCAGTGCGTTGCGGAGCCAGGAGGAAGGTCTACCTGCAGAGACTGCTGGTTGATGGGCTGAGGTAAGCGGAGGGGATTAGTGAGGAAAGTTTAACAACCTGACTTCTCCATGTCAGGACCGGAAGGAAGGGATTAGAGCAATTGTAACCACGTGGCTGACTGTCAACAGCAGCAGGGCAGTGTTCACCACAAGATCATTCCCACAGCCAAGGGGAGAAGCAAAGCGGGGCCTGGCGTTGGATGCCTGGACAAACCAAACGTGGCACATGCATGCACCAGATGCTATCCAGTGTTAAACAGGAAGAAAATTCCAATATGAAGAAGGAAATTCTGAATGGATCTTGAAGAGAAGCTAAATGATAAAAGCCAGTCCCCAAAAAAATTCACTTATGGAGGATATCTGGAGTAGTCAAATTCATAATACATGCATAATACAGTAGAAAGATCATGGATGGTCAGGCAGCATTATGGGGATGGAGAATTTCAGTTTAGGAAGATGCAAAATATCTGGTGAGGCGGGGATGGGTATCATATGTGCCCTTGATCCTGCAGAAGTGCACATCTTGAAATCATTGAAATAATAAATTTTATATCACATATATTTACTGCAATACTGTACTGTATGTTTTTCCAGTGGAAATTTTAAAAAGTAATCTTTTAGAGAAGGAAAACAGTAGTTAAGAAAATTAATGATTATAGCACATGTGAAAGACCTACCAGTTAACATACATAAGCCAGCCTCAGCATACATATGCATTCCCAGACACCGGCTTTGCACAATTCTCGGTATTCGTACAAATAGCCTTCAATTTGTAGTTATCATGAATTAATACCAAAATTTTTGTGGAGAGACTTTCTTCAAAATGCAACGCTTGAATGCACAGCGACGCTATCTGCGCTGAAATGTGGTGTGAAATGCCGCTTCCCTATCAAGACGGCGCACGGGCTCTCTTCCGTACCTTTCAGATTAAAGCCTCTGCATTGCGTCAGGGGATTCCCATGTCTCACGTCTTGCCTTCGGCTCCGTCTGTAAATGCAGAAATACATAAACAAGACTTAGAACTGTCACTACACTCGGCTTAAAACATTTCATTATTAAATTTGCAGATGTTTGATTGCCTGAGTTTCACTTTTTAAAGTCTGTATAGCAGATTTAAGTATCTCACTCTCATTCAGTGCGTCCGAGGCAGGGTGGGAATACATCCCCGCGGTTCCCTCTGAATGGATTCAGTCTTCCGCATCTACCACTCACGTGGAATGGCTTGCTGCCTTCTAGAGTATGCATTTCCTGGGCAGATGCTGGACTCCATAAGTAACTGTGTACAGTTTTAGTTTTAAAATAGCTCCTATAATTTTACTTAGTTTGTCCAGGATCCATCAAGGTACAGATATTCATCCAAAATTTTCTAAAAATGATAAATCCTAAAGTATAAACTCACTAGCCTTTTCCTGCTTACAAAAATTTTTTTAAGTAAACATATATTTCTTGCAAACCAACACTTTCCAACACTTCCCAAACATGAAAACTTTCCTCAAACGTGATACAGAGATAAACTATGGATTTTATTATAAAATTAAACAATTTTCATTTATGAGAATAAGTATTCCCCCTTTCGATTTTTTACTTTGAAAAAATTTCAAGTCTACAGAACAGTGGAAATATGATTACAACAAACATTGTTATACCTAGATTCTTAAGTTACTACATTTTACCACTTGCACTTTATTTTCCCTCGCATAAGCATGTAGTGTGTATGCACATAGATGGGAACTTTGAGAAGATCATTTACAAGGTCCTTCTCTCCCTTACATGTGTTAGCATGTATCCTCCAAGAATAAGTAGTCTCCCTCTGTAACATCACTGTACTAAGGATGTCAAATAAGATGTCAAATGTGTTTAATTTCATCTAATGTGCATTTGCATTAAAATCTTCCTAACTGTCATTCAAGTACCTTTCAGAAACTTTTACTTCGTTTAGGGATCCATTCAAGGTTCAGTCTTTGCATTTATTTCTTATTTTTACCCACAGGGATAAAGTATTCAGCAAGAAGAACAAAAATATTAGAATTACAAAGTGCTTATTAAACTTACAAAGTTAATCTCAATCCTTAGTGAGTTAACAACTCATATTAAGGTTACAACAGTTAATATTTTATGTAAACACATTGTGTACACTGACTTATGGAAATATGTGTGTACCACCTTGTATAATTTAAGTATTCCTTTTTGTAAAAGTCACATACTTCTTAGGAAATTATGTCTTTCTACAGAACCTTACACACAAAGTGGAATAGTGGTAGTCATTCGTATGGGAGGAAATACAGTTGATGCTAGTTGCAGAATGCCTCCCACATCCGGTCTTCACTGCATTGTGTTTGGTACATCCTGAAGTCACAACATTATTTACCACCAACCAACCAACTTGGAAGTGCATACAGATGCACAGTGGGGGTGCCCATGTCTGACCTGGGCACCTTTGCTTTCCAGACAAGCAGCATCTTTCCCAGGGGTGAAATTTATCAACCTGGATCGGCACAATGTGAGCATTTAGTCATCGAGAGCACGTAAACTCTCAAACTGGGCAGTCTGAGCATAGAGTATCTGCTGCCAGACATTCAAGCACAGAAAACTATAGTTATGGCTTGGCTGAAATGATGAGCTCAGTAAGAGCCTTCTGCTCCGGACGGTTCCCTGGACGGCATCCCCATAGCAGCGCGAAAGCCTGCTGGTAGGCAGAGGAATATTAGATTGCATATAGGATTTGGGATTTAGTTCAAATTGTCAATGTTTTATCCATTATAGCCAATTCATTGGGATAAACAATGAAATCATTTTCTGCTTGTGTAGAAAAGATATTTACTTGAAGACTGAACTGATTATCTTGTCTCAAAAATTCTAAATCCAGAATAAATAGCATGGGAGACTAAATTGCCATACAAATGCACAAATATTTAAGATACTTGAGAGAGAGCACAAAAAAATTGTTGTTTACAAGGCACCAAGTTCCTTTAAAACTATAAACAACAGAGCAAATGATATTTAGCTTTATTCTTTTAGCATATGAATTCTGTGGATTTCCAAGTACAACACACTTCTCTGTCTCCATGCAAAGAACATAGTTTGCTTTTCATTCCTATGAATATTTCCAAGTGATCTTTGTATTCTAAGTGGTGCAGTCAGAATAAACTTGGATAACGTAACACTAGTAAAGAAAATGAGCATGAGAAATATTCATCTTTGTCATTACCTTAATCTCTAAAGAAAGTAAATACTGCATAAGGGAATTTAGAAAAGAGTTAATGCATGTAGCAAACGTGCTCTGCATACTCTGTAAGTATATAGTTAATTAAATTTGGAAAGAATTTGGAGAATTTAAATAGTATACATATTTGTCTTGAAATTTCCAGTATGCTAGCCAAGCATGAATAGGTTCAGGCATTTCATACATTAAAATAGCATTTCTAATTACATGTCTGAACCCAGAATATACAACAATGGAAGCTAAATTGCAATAGTTGATACAAATACACAAAACTTTAAAATATTTGAGTACGGAGGGAAGCAGATCAATATAAACACATTAGTTACAATCGTGGTAGAATTAAGTCACTGCTAGAGCTACTCTAGATAGCTCTTTAAATTACTACTTTCTTTCTTAATCCATCATGCATAGTTTAATACCAGACAGGATAATTTAATAGTAAAGATCAGCAACATAACTTCAGCCCTGTGTGTTTTTTTAAGAAGCATCATTAAATTCATAATTTGTGGAGTTAGAATGGCACTGTGTAATAGGTTCTAATACACATCCTAGAAACAGTAACTGAGGCTCTAAGAGGTTGAAGAATATAAGAACATTTCCCAGTAGAAACTTCTAAAATGTAAAAAGAAACAACCCTCAAATATGCAAGGATCATAGCATAGGATTTTACTTCAGAAATATTCTCTGATAAATAAAAGTATTGGCCAAGCAGGAGGTCCTTACGAGAGATGAGTGGCTGGTATACCTGAAGGACTACGGTGAGATCCCACTTAGAGGCCACAGGTCCTTGGGAAGACGAGTGCTTCAGCAACACGCCTGGGTTATTGAGTCAAGATTGTATTTGAGATGCTAGAGATACCAATTAGTAGCTTCTTTCGATAAAAATGTCTTGCCTTCTAAATGCTGAGCTGTGACAGTAATTTAAAACTGTGTTCTGCCTGGGAGTGCTATGCGACTGGTAAAAAAAATACCAATCATTTGTGGAAGTTGAGGTCACATGTGGAAGTTGCTTCCATCACATTTCGTCCAGGGGCAGCCCGCTCCATCCCAGGGTGAACAGGAGTGGTCGCCTGGGAAAGAGGTCCTGGAATTCACTGAGAAATCTAAAGGAGCCACTGACCTTCTGGCTAAGCAAAGTGGAGGCACACAGTGTTTGAGGACAGAGATGAAAGACGTGGGTTTGAGGAGTGGGAGTTCTCATAGCATTCGCTCATCAGTGCAGATCACTGCCAGGTGGCGTCCACCCCATCCACTCCTGTCCATCCCTGTCCACTCCTGTCCACCCCGACTCACGGCTCCAGCTCCTCTGCACCCTCACTGGGTGTCTGTCCTGTGGGCGTCCTCTCCCCGTAGCCTGCTCCTCTCCGGGTCCCTCCTCAGAGAGTGAGGGCTGCACCCATCCTAACGCTCAGCTCTGAGAACACGGGTTGTTCAGGACTCCTTCCCTAACCTCTCCCACATCACCCAGCCATAGATTCTGGGAGATTTATGGGAAAACTAGAGCACTTTTGACACCTCTAGCTCTGGCATCCAGTCACCATTATACCTGCCTGGTCCTGCAGCCTGCCCCAAGCTGACCTCAAACCCTTGGAGTTCCAGGCTTTCAATGAAAGCCAGCATCTACCAGATAACCACTCTGGTGCTCCAAGCCCCACTCGTTTCCCCTTTCCCTGTGGATGAAAGCCTCAGTTATGCACAAGTCCTGCACCACTCGGCACTACACTCTCAGATCTTCCTGCCCTTTCTTTCACTCATTAGCTGGGGTGCTGGTTCTGGCCCAATCTGACAGGCCCACTCCTGGACGGAAGCTTTGCCAGGTACCATCTTCCTGTGGACCCTCAGCACGCTCACCCTCCCCTCCAAATCCCATGCCAGCCCATTTATCATGCAAAGCCGGCTTCCCTGGGTCCCTCCTGCCTTCTCTGCCTTTCTAGCCCAGAGACCTTACTCATCGTGATCTGACACATGGGAGATTCTTCTTTCAGTATTTGTTGTCTGCCTTCTCTCTTTAGAATATTTTATATGGAGATTTTCCTCTTGATGGTCATTGCTTGTGTTCCATGTCTAACATCGACAATGATGTTTGGAAATTATTTGCCCCATGATGACAATTTAATAATTAACAAAAGCAGCAAAATACTTCCAATATGCAAAGGGGACAGTGGGGTTATTTGAATCTGATCATAAAAATGTACCTGTTACAGAGAACAAGACCTCTAAAACACCATTGGCACAAGGCTGTATCAAAAGATCATTAGCGCCAGGCTGCCCCCTCGACCTAAAGATTTCCTCCCTATCACCCATCACTGCCCGTACCAGGGGAAGACTGCAAATAGCCATGACCTGGGTTGACCCCAAGTTCTGCATACTCTCCGTCTTATAATCAACTTTTCTACTGCTAATTCCTTCCGTGGAAATCAGCTCAGCATTTCCTGCTGATCCCTTGGCTGAGATAATAAAAGGCAGCAGGTGGCGGTCAGGCTGCTTTTCTCTCTTCTGCTAAACAACAACCGTATTCTCACCATTCAAAGGGAAAGGGCCAGGTCGTCCAGATTGGGGAAGCAAATCAGCCCATCTTCCCTGCCTCAATGTCCTCGGGTACCTTCCTTCTCAGTAGTGTCTCCTTTGCGTGAACCCAACTACCTTCTGATCCGTGGAGGACACATATTTAATTACAAAAAGCTTAAGCAGTGTGGGGGAGCTGCAGGAATGTGACACTAAAAGATGTACTAAAGCACAGCAGACAAAGAAGAGACATAATTAGCATTCAGAGTGAAGAGAAAAACCAAGTGATCCCTGAAATACTTGGTGGCACTGGGAAGAGGAGCAGAGGGAGAGGAGGAGCTCGGAGCAGGGGAGAGTCTCAACTTATGGAGCAGGGCTGTCACCTGAGTCTAGGGGAGGCGCTGCACACCGCTGATGCTAGGCTGAGTGTGGTTCTGTACAGACCCTGCAAAGGAAGGGGCTCTGCTGATGCAGACGAGGGCCTCTGCACGCCTGGCACTCACCGCTTTCCGGTGGGGTAGAACCTGGAGCAGGCGTGGCCGTCCCAGGCACAGTAGGGGTCCCTGGCCAGGCAGCAGTCCGCACAGGCCGTGCCGTAGATGTCACAGCGGTGCAGCGACACTTGGGAAATCCCTTCATTGGAGCTCACATATAACTGTTGCTATAAGAGGAACAGCGTTGATTTATTTCAGATGTGGAAGTTAAAGGAAGACTTTCAGCAGGAACACATTATAACACACGCCCACACCCACAAACCCTTGGACTGGTCTTAACACAGACTCAGAATGAGCAGCAAAGCACACAAGGGTAGAAAGCCAAGATAAATAGATTTCCCTGCGCTAATATGCCTATAACATTACCACTTTCCTGCTAAGGAGAAAAAGCTTCAAACTCTGTGCAGAATGGTAATGGGCTTGAGACATTGGGATGCATTGTTCTCTCAGATTTGGGCTAATACACTGCAGATTTAAGTTATGATGTTTTCTTTCTTCTTTGAATACTGTCTCTTTGCAAAGTACAAGGGAGCTTTCTTATGTTTCAAGTCTGACAACCCATTACTTTGTCAATTTGAAAAACGTCAGGTTTAAAATAAAGGGCACATTAAGTTTAGAAGAAAAAGAAGACAGCGTTAGATTAAAAACATTTTGTCATATCTTGAAAGCAGCATATTACTCATTAAAACAACTTAAAACTTTTTAGAAGAACACTGGCATCTATTTTTAAACATATCGGGAAATTCCTGAATGACACAGAATCTTTATCACCTAGAGAAGTCATGAATAAAATATCTTATTCTCTTTCATTTGTAGAGCGTGGAAACCTTCATAAACTACCACTCCGAAGACTTCAGCAGTACACCAAAATGTCCCGAGGAGCTGAGTGGATGTCTCTGGCGGACACTCCTTATTTGCTAAAGGAGTGACATTCCTTGACTCAAGTGAGCACCATCTCTAAGCTGAAACTTGAATTGATGTCAGGGAGTGTGCAGACCCTTCCCATCCTATAAGTAGGTGCACATTTAAGAATTAAACGTAGCCAGAGAGATGCGTGTAATCCCAACACTCATGGAGGCTGAGGCAGGAGGATTGTGAATTTCAGCTCAGTTTGGGCAACTAGAAATCCTGTCTCAAAATTAAAAAAAAGAGAAAGGGCGCTGGTTATATCTCAATAGAAAGGCCCAGGGTTCAATTCCCAGCACCTCATGTGTTTGTGGTGGCGGGGGATTGAATCTATGGGGGCGTCTTTATTCGCCAGATTCTGGTGTCTTCCGGCCAACTTCTCAGGCTCCAATCTCGGAAGGGCGCAAATCTGCATGTGTAACCTTTCTGAGTCTCAGCTTCTCACCGGTAAAGGTGGAAGAACACGGTATTTGCCCAACAGAGCTTTCGTAAGAGACATGTGGCAAGCGTTTTCCATGCAATAAAATGTCGCCACTGAGGTTTGGCTCATAAGTGCGATAAATAGTAATTGCAACAGTTGAGCAAAACATCAATTAGCAAAAATTATCAACCAGTATGTTTTCACTTGAATCACATTCAAATCTACTACGTTTTGGGCATTGTTGTTTTTAAATCATTTTTTTTCCCTGAATTTGTGCTGAAGTAGATTGATCCCTCATTTAGACATTCCAGTGATAAGAAAATAGCCACTTTTTTGGATAATAACCATTTGTACAAGAAAATTTGAAACAAGTGAATAGTGAGTAAATCAAATAATAACACAGTGAATGTACCAGCTCCATTAAAATTTTAAAAGCACATAGGTTTGAGAAATACTTAGTTTTTTTAGATAACTTATTTTTTTCACTATTTCTATTATATGGAACACAATAATAAATTGGGAATAAAGGAATAAAATGGAGAATGAAACACTTTGAGTATTAAGAATGGTAGTAACTTCATGGTATTGAAATACACATCATACATATTGCATAATTTGTGGTCCTCTCACACAAAAAAATAATGCAGTACAAAGTTTTGCAAATGAACTCCTGAGAGTGAAATAATCACCCTGCCCTAAATCTAATGGTTTTAATGAAACATTTTAGATGATCTACAATGTAAGATTTTGAAAACAGATGTCATAGGTCAGCTACCAATAGGCTGAAACCTGTAATTTTGTGTCAGACTACTATGCCACACAGATGGATTTGTGTCCGCTGTAAATTTTGTTGGAATACTTTCTCTTTCCATTAAGCCAGGGTAAACACAGGGTTTCCCTGCTGACTTCAAAGGCAATTCTGACTTGGGATCAGCTCCCTGAGACATTAGGCAACATGACGAATGGCTTCTTATGACTTGGGAAAATGTTTGTCATCCACCATGCAAACATTTTTACAGATGAGATCTTCAGCGCCATTGTACCTTATTTATTTTTCCTCATAAAATCTTGTCAAGTACAGGATTGACATACTACATCAGACATCTCGTCTAACAGACCAATGAAGGTGAGGAAAACTAGAATTATACAATCAGTTGTGCAAACATCTAAAACCCTTATTCTCTATTCCAAGAAAAACAAATGTCAGGTTCTCCCAGACAGCGTTTGCAGAGGACACGCTTTATTTTAAGCAATTTTTATAAATAAATTGATTGGTGAAAAAGGCACTACCTTGCAGTTGTACAGAATTCGATTGGAGAAGTTAAATGGTTTGTCAGGGATTTACGACCAAGCTGGGACTCAAATGCACGTCACCCCCGCTCCCTCCGACTGTGTTACTTTGCCCCTTCGAACTGTGGTCTGAAGATGACAGCCCCTGGACTGAAGAACGCGTCTGGTCACTTCCATCCCAGCCATTGTGCCGAACACGCACAGGCACGATTAGATTAATTGGAACAGCCCTGATAAGCACAGCCCAAATCCTGGCCCCTTAGATTTAAGATGTTTAGTTCTTCCGACATTTACAGGCCCTAAGAAATAGTATTTCTTCAAAACTAACCATTAAGGAAGCGCACTGCACATTTCAAAGACAGGAGAGCAGCGGGAACTCAAAGGAGGGCTGACGGCTCATCCCAAGGCCCTGAGAACGCTCTGCTGCTCCGGTAGCCTGAAGAGTATGCTGCGTTCTTCCTTCAGAAAGATTACTTTTATTTTACTTGGCTTCGCACACTATAATATTTGAGAATATAGGATATACAAAATGTTGGAATATCCTTCTGTGTATCTGTTCCACTCTCATGAACTTTTATACAAAAATAAACCTATTCAGGCTTTCACTAAAAGCTAGTAAATTCTGCATCAAAATTACAAGTGATTTTTTGTGGTATCATTTAGAAATTATTAATTATTTTGTCAACACTAAAATTAAATTTTCAGAAGTTATAAAATGTCTCTCCTGAAAGCAAAACATTTGAGTATGCAAAGAACAGAAAATGGGCTTGGTTTTTACCTTCTTGGGTGAGATTTTCATGGTTGTTATGGGAGCATGACTCTAAAAGATAAAAAGAAAATCACGTTAGTTGTTCATGCACTCCTTAAAAACATTTTAAATTCAAATAAGTGAGCTGTTTGGTAAAAATTCAAAAAGTCACTTTTTTCTGTGCGCATGTACATCTGAGTAGAGCACATTTCCCTCTTTGGGGACTAAGAACGGACTCGTTAATGACGCATGAGAACAAAAAGGAGCCGCTGTAACACATCATCTAGACCTCACCGGCAGAAGAAAGAGGGGCTCGTTGGAAACTGCATGTCAGAACAGTGAATCCAGGGCTGGGTCTCCGTGCACAGGTCGGCGAGCCTGGGCTTGGTACCCACCTGACTCTCTCCGCCGCAGCCCTAGTGTTTGCCTACCTTGTGTGGTTTTTAGATAAAAGGGTCAGGCCAACCATACTAATTGATTCTCATTGTTGAAAACAAAGAAATACTGTTAGAAAAGTTCTTCTTTTGATAAAGGTGAATAAGTGAAAAAGTTTAAGAATTTCCTGCAGTAGTAGTCCTTCTAACCGTCACTCCATTCATCTAACATCCATTGTATTTTTTAAATTAAAAGTTAGACTTGTGATAACCTAATGAAAGCCTGTGAAGATTTACATGAGCAATCCTCTCTCAGAGTAAGCTCTCAGAATCCAAACCACTCTCAAATACGGTGCTCTTTGGGGTTGCAAGTGCCTACAAAGACTGAAAAGAGCAAATCAGGACATCTTTAACACTCAACTGCAGCAGTTCAGTCCTGATCACCCCTCATCAATGTACACATACATGCTTGTCAATTTCCTACCATTTAGGCAACTGCTGATATTTGTCCCCTCATTTTGATTCAAGCTTGAGGGAACTAAACTTTTTCAGAAGATCTGAACAAAAGAGTAAAAGGCTGAGGCCATTGGCCCTGCACAGGGTTTGGTTTTCAGAAGTCACACTGAGGTTTCTGCACTACATCAGTGCAACACAGAGAGAAGGATTGTGTCCCATCGAAATGCATTATTTCCTCAGGAGCCCTTGGCAGTACATCATACACACTCAATCATTTCTACCTCACCTCAGGAAAAGTGACACAGACACCGCGATGAAGGCAGCGGCTGGGCTTGGTAGCCGCGTCCCGGCTCCGTCGTATCAACCACAGGCACACGCACCAGTAAGAAAGCTCAGGCTGCGGTAGCCCCTCCCCCGGGCCCGTGTCCCCCGCCTGCGTGCTGACTGACTGCTTCTCCACGGAGAGTTTATTCGCCACGATAACAGCAGCATAGCTCACATAACAGACCATAAGTAGTTCTCACTTGATCAGAACAACTCACACGGCTTTAAGAATTTTCCATAGCACGTATGTTTAGGTTTGTGTCAATCTCACTTAATTAACATTTCCCGATAATAACAAAGAAGATAGTTCAGAATTAAAAATGAAGTGCTATATTATAGACCTTTTTGCTATCTTCAAGAAAAGCTCAGAATAGGGTATATCACGCTATTGTGACCAGTGTGATTGCTACTATTAGGGTGACTAAGAAGAGTGTGTGTGTGTGTGTGTGCATGTGTGTGTGTGTGCATGTGCGTGTGTAACATGCAACTTTGGTTAACTTAACGAAACTACTAATTTCTTTACAAAGCAAAACTGCTTTCTAAAGCAGTTAGAAAAACTGCTTAAACAGAGGGCATTACTATTATGAGCACAATTTTAATGCCTTCATCACAAAGAACCTAATGCTAATATAAGTCTAGCATTAAAAATTATAAATATAATAACACACAGGGAAATTAGCCAGAGCTTCTTAGTTTTTATATTCGAATTGATTATTCTAATTTTTACTTTTAAAATTTATTAGCAAAGCCTAACAGCATCGCCTCTTAAGCACTTGAGGTGCTTAGTGACTCAGCAGCATCAGTGACACTGACATGCATATCACGACGCTCTGAATCCACTCAGTGAGGCACAGCAATGCACTGGACTAGCAGCGCTCTGCTCCTGGGAGTTCCGAGGGCTGCTGCTACTCAGTGTGGGGCTGTCTCCATCTTTTGTGATCCCTGAGCCATTGTCTCTTAACTGGTTTCGTTGGAAAAAGTCATCTGCAGCAGGACTGGGTGGGTGCCAACGTTTCTTTGTAATTCTAGTAACTTCTCAGCAGTGGGATACCCGTATCTCCAAAGGCACCACTTGAGCCACAGCAATGGACACCCAAAGGAGAGAAGGGCAGACGGGACACCACACATCTATCCTCTTGGCTCAGGGATTTCATAAAGGATGAGATGCTACTCTGAGTACATGAGAACTTATAGACCTGAGCTTCCCTCTCTGTACCTTTTCTGTTTTTCTCCTTCTTCTTAAAAAAATTCAAACTTCTAGGTCAAGAAGAGTAATATAACGAAATCTCATACTCTAGTAGAATATGAAGATTTAAGTGGTAAGAAATGATTGTTTTACTTAGTGACGTATGAAGTAAAGGCAATAAAACAAGATAAAACAGTTCTATTGAAACAACTGGTTGCAAAAATATGAGAAAGCTTATCTAACAGTCAACTGTGGAAGCGTTTGAGCTTTAGTGGCTGGTGAGACAAATGACAAAAGTCTTTTCACAGCAAAGTCTGCCAGATCTGGACCACAAGAACTCATTTAAAAAAAATAAAGACAAGCAAAATTCTTCAAGTTGGGATGACAGTTGGGGGGAAAAGTTATCCTTTTATGTTAAGATAACTTAAAGTGTAAGAAAATACTTCGCCAAAATATTTGTTCTAGATTTCTCATTTTATCTGATGTTTTCCTACATGCAAAAATTTATAACATTCATTTATTTGATCTTTTATCAAGTAGTTTTTCCTTCCAAGTGGCTACGAGATTAAAGAAACATTCATCACGCGTGCTCTGAGGTTAAGAGAAAAGATGTTCAAACCTTAAACAACTCCAGTTCCTCCAGAATGAGCTCACCACTGGCAGAGCTGTTGGAAGGGAGAACAACCACCTTTTGTACAGTGCCTCGATCTAGAGGTAAGGGAGACAATGATAGATTAAAACAATAGTTTAAAGGAGAGCTATTGAGACAGAAGACTAGAAGTTAGAGTATTGTTTATGTAAGACTTTAGTTGTTAAGAAAGATAGTGTGTATATATATATATATATATATATATATATATATATATATATATAAATTACCATCTGCAACACACTAACTTTATTCCCAGTCTCACATATTTAAATTCAGATTACATGTAACTCAAAATAAACTCTGGGAACATCTTATATTGTGGGGATCTTTTCTTTGGGTATATCCATAACTAGGAGAGAAAGAAAGAAAATATCCAATTGCCTTAAATTGAAAGTGCTGAAACAAGTGTATATTCTTCTGACATAATACTAACTTTCTGTTTGTTGGGTCCATGTGTTACTTCCTTCTCCAGTCCAGGGCTATGAAGTGACATTCCCACCATTGCATTAACACTGTTACACAATGATTTCACTACTTGAAAGAAGATTACTACTATAAATAAATTTTTATAGTAATTGCATAATAAATAATCAGTATTGGAGAACTGACCTCAAGCTGCAGATTGGAGAGAATTTAGACCTGGTTAAATGTTTCAAAATAAGACTCAGAGGAGAAATGTAATGTGATTGTGGCTCCTATTTACTGGATAGTTGTATGGTTTTCACAATGGTGTTTATCACTTGGCAGTGTTCTGTTGGATATTCTTAAAAATGCAGGAGAAATTTTGAAATTGGATAGGTCAAACAAACTTAATATAAAATTTACTCATATTTGCCAGAAACAGCCCAAAATAGAAACGTACAAATAAGCACGATACATACAGAAGCATCATTTCTTATGATTTATAATTTAGTTTCTTACAGGCATATAAGCACTCATGAACATATGAGTATGCCACTCTACCAATCATAAATTTTGGGTTTAAAACAAACTTGATGAGATTTAATCATATGATATTACAGCAAATTTTGAATAATTTGGTAAAGTAAAAATGTATTTACTTCTCAAAATATACCCTTATTAAAATGAGTGAGCTGCATCATAAATATCATGATCACTCTTAAATTATAGCTGAATTATTAGTGTATAAATAAGCATTATTATTAACAGAAAATGGAGCTCTGTTAAGTTACCTTGAGAAATATCAACACTTTGAGTTAACTTGAATTAGACTGCACATGACTTCATAACTAGGACTCATTTAGTGACTGATATCATAAAATTTAAATCTCTCATCTCACTTGGCTTCTAGTCACACGCAAGAGGAGCTCTGACACGGAAGATCGTATTTTGTGTTTACAGTTTGCACGTGTTTACAGTGGAAGAGCAAGACCCAGGGATCATCGGAACAGTCCCTAAAACTGGGAGGATACGATCCATGAGCACATGAGCTCGGAAGGTGCCACATTTGCTCCGTATTTTAAAATTTCTGATTAAACCGAATCCCAAAGTCTTACTGGCTCTAGGTATAATTAAAAAATCCTGAAAGGTTTCTGCTGCACTGAACAGCTCCTTATAGTCAGTCTCGGTAATAATAAGGGCTATATCGGAAGCCAAGAATATAAGTAAGAATCAGAAAAGAAGCAGCCCTCGAGGACGTCTAGCAGAGACAGATCACACTAGCCCAACATGGTCACAGCAGCCCCGATTTCTACTAACAGCTCATCACAACGCACAGAGAAGCTGTCTAGGGGAAGACAGCATGCCCTAAAAGTAGCCGGAAAATCATGAACTTTGAGTGATGACAGGGACCTCTGGGGGGCGCTGTGTGTACCTCTGCGCCTGCCCAATGCATGGTCCATGAGCTGCTGGACATAAAGGACAGGAAAAGAATCAGAAAGATGAGAAGCTAACCGGGCGTGGTGGCGGACACCTGTAATCCCAGCACTCAGGAGGCTGAGGCAGGAGAATCATCGAGAGTTTGAGACCAGCCTGGGCTACAAAGTGAGCTCAAGTCCAGCTTGAACAGCACAGTGAGACCCTGTTTCAAAAAAACCAAAAAAAAAAAAAAAAAAAGGTGAACGGCTAAAATTCTTAAAAATCACACTCTCGTCTTACCAAAAGAAGTCACGATAGAGTGTTGTGGTCCCTGTAAGGTCAGGACTGTTCTCTACAATGGCAGTCGCCTCTCTCTCTAGAGCCCACACTGAATAAAGGCTGAGGATCGCCCAAGACCAAGGAAAAATGCATAAAGAGCACCCCCATTGCAAAGCGATCAGTGTGTCAGAGGCACCTCATGATGTTCACACACATCGGCACACAATGGACACCAAAAGTGCACATAGTTAAAAATAAAGAAGAAGGGAGTGCCCTCAAATGAGAAAATGAGTGCAAAAGTTCACACTAATTATCATTATCTGAAGGGGCCCGCAAGAAAAATACTTTCTCCATGCTGTCCATAGAATACTGCACCAAGAAGAGCTAGAACAATGTGCCACTAACAGATAACCCAAAGCCTGTTCTGTTGCATTCTCAGTAAAGGATAGACAATACCACTATCATCTTTTCTCTTATTTTAGATATTTTTAAATTTGTCTGCATTCCCTGGATGGAAAATGCCTTTATGGTAGTGTTACATGGTATCCTTCAGTGCTAAATAAATAAGTTGACTTGGGTTATCTTCTGTCCATTGTTACCGATTCCACAAGAACTTACTGGGTGCCTCCAGTGAGTCAGACAGTACAAATAAGAAGATAAATAGGCACAGGACTCAAGAGTTCAGGATCTAGAATTTATGTATTTTTGAGTGGCGTGTTCCCATTAAAATGTTAGTCATTGTGAGCAGGCATTCCAGGATGGCCATAAAACTCTCCATTACTTATGTCTACATAAAGTAGCCTGTGCGCGCTTTCGTTTGAACATGATGATACAGTTATCAAATGTCTTCCCGCTAGGGGTGATGGGAATGGTATCCTTTGAATGTACTCAGAACGATAAATCCTTTTTATTGTTCTGTAGAACTGGGATGTTGCTCTTCTATCTTAGGAAAAGCAGAGTTAAGCAGGCTTCATTTTTTGCCATGAGCCTCACTTGGTATGTAAATAACATGCAGAAAACAACTAAAACTTTTGCAATAACTATGTTACTAGAGTCTTTCCAGAATCCTTTGCCCTTTCCTTGGAAAGAATAACTCAAGCTACCTCTCAGAAAAAAAAAATCTCATCTTCTCGGTCATCATGGTTAGGGAACCGTGCCCTCCCTTGGTTCCAGGGAAATCCTGTAACAACCTGGGGCAGTCTGCGAATCAAAAACCCACGCCCAGCCCCATCCTGGACTTAGCTAAGCAGACTCTGTATCGGGGCTCCCAGCCTGTGTCCCTGTAGGAGACGGAGCTGAGATTCCAGCTGAACATTCATAATGCAGCAAAGCAGAACCAAGAGCTATGTGAACATGGGCTGACAACATCATTTTAGTACCAACTCAACTCTGAGGAAGCTACCTTCTGTATCTTCTAATAGGGTAAAGTTTTTATTTTAACTGATTTCAGTGAAGGGTGTCATGACCTTTAGTTGAAAGATTTCTAGTTAGTTAAACAAGTGATATCTGAAATTGCTTAGCATGGCATTGGCTGCATAGTATCCCCCCAGGAAAGAGAAGTTGGTTTTTAGTTCCAGCTCTTCCACTTCTTCAACTTTTGACATTTCTTAAGTCATCTTCTTCTACTGACCCTCAAGTTCCTTGTCTGTGAGCTGTGGATAATGCATCCCTCAGTAATTAACCCACGGATGTGTGAGAAGCCATTTCTCAGCAATGCTTCACGTGATGTGAACCTATACGCAGAGATAGTGATGAACTCATCGATCCACAGGAGCAATGTCAATTTTCTTTTGTCTCATTAAGTACTGAAAGAAGAGTCTCTAGACAACTTCTTGTCTTATTTATTTCACACTCTCTAGGTTGGATTTTTCTTCAAAATGCAAGTGAGTACAGCACGAACCCGGAAAACCTTCTCTGTCTCCAACCAAGACAGCAGCTTGCACTTAGAGGCAGGTATTGGCTGTCTCACACCAAGTGCCCAAAGGGTTCCTTAGCCGGCAGTGATGTGAATAATCACTCCCAAACCTCTCTGCAGGCTCACAGTTAACCTGCACCCCAGCGGGCTTCCCTGGGTGCTGTGAGCCACTCTGTGGTTACTACTGGATTGGAGGCACAGCCCTCTCCTTAGAACTGCTGAGCCCGGCTGCTAGTGCTGATTTGCAGACCGTTTCAGCGGGGCAGACCTGGCGGGTGTGCGACAAGCTCCTGGGCTCAGCGGGGCTGCATGGTTGATTCACTGTTCTACTTCCAACTCCTTAAAATTCTTAATAATTCTTTTTTTGAAAAGGACACTGAATTTTCATTTTTTACTCTGCCTGACAAATTCTGTAGCCAGTCGTGATTCTGGTAGGTGGAATTAGTAACAGTTTATACCAGGTAAGATGCAGCCTTGTTCACTTTGGTAAAGACAGTGTGCAAACGCTCCTCATCCTTTCCTTCTAGTTCCCTGTCCTCACCACAGTGCCCGACCCTCAACCCAGGCCATCCAGTGCGTGACTGGAGAAATAAGTGACTGTCAGATAATCGGGTCCAGGAGCTGCAATTAAAACGAGTGCGATGAAACATGACATCCCACCTGTGAAATGGCAACCTCCCTTCAGTGCAACTGACTATAACTTTACAAACTTATTTGTTCATTAAAATAAATATATTTTTAAAGCCACACACGGACTACAAAAATCTCCACAAATGAGGAAGAATGGCCATCATCAAGAAATCAAATGAGAACAAATGTTAGTGAGGATGTGGGGGAAAAGCAACTCTTCTACACTGCTGGTAGAAACGTAAATTAGTAAAACCACTATGGGAACCAGGGTGGAGATTCCTCAAAAAACTGAAAAGAAAAATTCCACTTGACCCCACTGTTCTTCCTCTGGGTATCTTCCTGAAAGAGTTAAAGAACGTATTACAGTGAAACTTGCCCAGCAGCACAACTCATAACAGCTAAATCTTGGAAGAG